CTATATGCTCCTCATATTCCCTTTTTGCCTGCCTGACCACAGACTTGCATTTTATTTGCCATAGCCTGTGTTCCGTTTTATCAGCCTCACTGTGACTAGCTTTCCACAGCTTAAAGGAATCCTTACCTTTTACAGCTTCCATTACTCTGTTTGTTAACCATGCAGGCTTTTTCCTATACCTGTTTATGCCTTTCCTAACCTGCGGAATATTTTTTTTCCAGCTTCTAGAATCATGGTTTTAAATAGTTTCCAAGCTTCCCCAATGGTTTTGACCCTTTCTACTTTTCCTTTCAGTTTCCTCCTCACATGTCTCCTCATATCAGAGAGGTTACCCCTTTTTGAGTTAAAAGTGGTTGTGTCAGTGTTTTTGGCCAATTCCCTATTTATACAAATGTTGAACTCAACAACATTATGATCACTGTTCCCAAGCAGTGCAATCACTTTTACATCTCTCACCAGGTCTTGAGTGTTACTTAGGATGAAATCAAGGGTCGCCTCTCCCCTGGTAGGTTCTGTGACCATCTGCTCCATAGCACAGTCATTTAGAGTGTCTAGAAACTCAATCTCTTTTTCTCGACTAGAACACATATTCACCCAATCAATGTGTGGGTAGTTAAAATCACCTATTATGACACAGTGTTTTTGTCTAGCTGCTATCTTTAATTCTTTCATCATTTTACAATCCTCCTCTATCTTTTGATCTGGTGGGCGATAACAAACTCCCAGTGTTAAGTCCCCCCCCCATTTCAACCCACAGAATTTCCAGAAGCGAATCCAATTCTCTTAGCCTCTCAATCTTTCTGGACTTTATACCCTCTCTGACATACAGAGCCACCCCACCTCCAACCCTTCCCCCCGCCCCTATCCTTCTGATATAATATATAACCGGGAATCACTGTGTCCCACTGATTTTCCTCATCCCACCAAGTTTCTGAAATACCCACAATGTGTTTGAAGGTCCTAAGACATCTTTATTAGTATTACTGAAAGAAGAGATAGGTGAATGAAAGAGAACCGGACCATTTTTGATAACTCCATTTTAGTACTGAAGACTCAATTTGTGATATTGTTTACTGTAGCTTATCCCCAATAATAAATTAAAACTTACAATATTCATGTATACTTCAGGATTCACATCTGTATTATTGCATTCTGAAGACGCAAATCCTTGGGCCAGATACAACACCAAGAGGAACTGCCACATTTTGTTTCTGTATTAAATAAAGTGTTGTTTGATTTTCATAGATAATAGTTTCCTAGAGGAAGAAACTGACAAACAGGCAGATATGTTTATTATATGAATACCACCCTTACATACATTTTTGTTGTTCAGTTGCACGGTCGAGTCTGACTCTTCGCGACCCCCATGGACAAGATCTCGCCAGGCCTTTCTGTCTTCCGCCGTCCTCTGAAGTTTGCTGAATTTCATGTTCGTTGCATCTATGACACTGTCTAACCATCTCATCCTTTGCCGTCCCCGTCTTCTTTGACCTTCAATCTTTCCCAGCATCAGGGTCTTCTCCAGTGAGTGCTCCCTTCTCATTTGGTAGCCAAAGTATTTGAGCTTCAGTTTCATTATCTGGCCTTCCAGGGAACAGTCAGGGTTACATATATACTCTACACAAAGAGTTAATTCAAATTTTATGGCTTCTTATCATAATGCCATTAAATGTGTCTGGTCCATACAAGAGCTATAACTACACCTTAGATAAAAATTACTGTTTAAAATTATCACCCATTTCCCCATTTCCATTTTGGATGTCTCTCCATTTTGGATACAGTTCCATAATGGTGGTATCATTATGGGTTGCCTTCTCCCATCTGTTCCTGTCCTACAGTAAAAATCTTCCATGTGCTTCCAGAAGTAACTGTAGAATGGGGAAATTATGTGTAGGAAAGGATTGAACACCCTGTCCATTAGTCCCTAGTTTGCACCCCTGATTTGGGAAAGTTTGCAATAATAAGTACATCAGGAGTTCCAGTCATGTGTCTTCCATCTGTATAATGTACAGTTTGGTTCTGAAACTCTACTATTACTTGCCTACAGCCCAAACTACCTGTTACTCAGTGTGGAGGAAAGGGAATTTTAAAGTCTTTCCTTACTAGCCATTTGTCTGCTCAAGTTGCCCCTCCTAATGGCTGTCATCCCACCAATCAAATAAAAGATATGGGGACCCTTACAATAGCTTTCAGTGAGAAAACAGCAGCTGGGGAAGAATAGCAAGAAAAGAGTTCTTCCTTCATTTCCTTTATTGGTCTTCTGTGCAAACTGAAACCACTCACTGTCACTTTGCTGTTCACAGTCCTAACATTTAGTTTGTTCCTAAATGTTTTCAGTAAGTTTTGGGTCCAAATGACACTTGATGTTCAGGATCTATGATCGTAGTGTTTAATTTAGCCATGAAAAATGGACCCAGGATGTGCAGTATGCAATGAGAAATGCTGGGAATTGGACAGGGCTTTCTTTCCTTGTACTATTTCCCTGATTAAAAATGCTCCCACCCCTGATGCTTTCAGCATCACTAGAAGGTGGGGAAAGACAGGCACATACCAATTCTTGTGTGTGTTTTTCTCTACCAGCACTAAAAACGCCAGGGGTGTTGCATTTTCAGTTGGGAAACAGGACCAGGAAAATAGATAAATCCCACCATCCTATTACTTCAGTTCTGGCCAGATTCAGGGGCCTTCCAGGCATGGCCATGTTAAATACAGCAAAACTAGGTAAGAGAAGGGTGGGTGCTGCTTCTGCTCACTAGTGTTTCTTGCTCACCTGCCTGAGCATTTAGCATCCACTAGAATGGGGAGCTACAGGGGCCCATTTGTCGCCTGCCCTCTTCCCGCTGCTCCTGCTTGCTCAAGTAGGTGTGTCAACAACAGACAATGTCATGCATCCCCCCCAGCTGTCAGAAAACCTGGAGCCACTGCTTCCATCTGTGGTGGTCTCTGTGGTGGTGACTTCCATGGTAAGGGGTGGCATGAAGGGTAAGCAGGCTTAATCGACCATCCAGGGAAATGCACAGACTGTACTCAGTGCTGCTTCAGAATAGTGGGTTCTTCAAAAGGCCACGATGTCATGACAACTGACCAATGATACCTCTTGCTAACATGGACCACGAGTAGTCTCTGCAGCTACTTTTGCTGGATAAATAACATGCTGAGCAAGAAGGTCTGATCTTGGCTCCTCAATGCCTTATATTTCTTAATAGTAAAGATGCTTGAAAAGTTTGACAAATGTCTTTACATTCAGTTTGGTAAGCTGTCTTGCTAAAACTGCTGCCGTTACATTTCAGCTACATTAACAGTCACAAGTGTGATTCAGTGCAGAGGTAGCCTAGGCTAAACTCATTAAAATCAATCAGTTTCAGCAAAAGTAACTCTGCATAGGATGGAGCTGTGAAACAGTTATTATCTCATTATCCACCCTCCCATAACCTAGAGATGATTGCTTTCATCTTAGGTTAGAAGCAGACTTATTCCACAAACCCTTAATAAAAATAATATTTCATCCATTTGAAAAATAAGCAGGCATATACAATATTAGCATCCAGAGACTTTTCAACCCATTAGAAGGATCACTGTGAGATGTGCTCACAGTAATTCAGTGACAACAATATACCATTCTTCTGTGGCAAATGGTGTGCCAAAAGGCTGCATCAATCAAACATAAGATATTACCGGAGTACGCTAGCTGCTCTGGAAGGAGACCAGGTGCTGGAAGGAATGAAAAGTTGACAGTCCTCCGTTAACAGGAGTAGTACAGAGACAACTACCTTCTGGAAGTTTCACTGCCATCGCTTCCCTAATCAATCTTTTTTATATACCTACAGTCTCTCTCTCACTCATGGGCTTCCCCCCCCACACACCCCATGCTAACATATTATTAATTCAGGGTGTGCACTCCAGTGACATCACTGTTTTCTTGCTCAGTATCAGTCAGTAAATCCCAAATCTACCATACAGAACCTATTAACATCTCTTCATATTAAGTTTATTCATGACATTTTCAGTTCTCAGCACAAACTGTTTGCAAGAACAATTCTACATGCAAGTAAAACTACCCTCTGAATTGTCAAGGGTGATACAGGGAAACAACTCTACCTGAATGGCCTCAGGGGGCATTCAAAAGTTGCTGATAATCATTCAGAACAATGTCAGTCATGTGTACTATGCATTGCGTCACATGAGAAACTAATGGCGGAGGTCAGATTCCTTGGAAACAAAAGGCATACTCCTCCAAAAGTAATGCACACAACCTGTTTAGCTCTCACTTCACAGCCTGGTATTTGTAAACTGAAGGGGAATGACAGTGAAATTCAGTGGAAAGGAAATTCATCGGAGGGAAGAGCTAGCAAGTTTCTGGGTTGTCTTCAAGGGCAGCCTGTGCATATTTATTTGTACTATCTATTGTACATTAAAGACTACTTAGTCCAGTGGTTTCTATCTGGAGGCTAAATTCAAGACCTATATTTGTCACGTGTATTTTAAGAGTACCGTACAATACACTGATTCATTTTGTTTAATTTGTTTTTAATATTGTTACTGCTCTTCTGCCTAACTGAATTTTTTGTTGGGTTTATATTCCTGTTGTTGTTGGTGGTGTATTAGACAGCAGCCAACTTTGAGATTATAGAAGTGTGGATAGGGTTGCCAAGTCCATCTTCTGCCCCCAGCTGGAGGGGGCGGGGCATCCCCGACATGATGACATCACGTTGGGGACGTCCGTGGCCCCCCCACCCGCACGCCTGATCTCCAGAAACGCCAGTTTCTTGCTGGCGTTTCCCTTTTAAGTGCATGGAGCCAGTGTTTCCCCTTTAAAGAGCTGGCATTTCCCTCTTAAGTGCATGGAGCTGGCATTTCCCTGCAAGCCTGATCTCAAGCAAAGATTGGGCTTGGGAGGAAACGTGGGCTTCATGTACTTAAAGGCAGCCACCCCTTTCCGCAGTACAACTAAAGTCATCTTGGTACCAGGGCCGGCTCACCCGCTAGGCAAACTAGGCATTCGTCTAGAGCACGCCGGCCCTTAGGGGCACCCAACAGGACCCGCCCCCTGCCAAAGCCCCCCCAGCCCCCACCAAAAGCCTGCATCATGATCTCCGGCGGGCTGGGTGGGCGACGATCCTAGGGTGCGCCCAGCCCGGGCTACCCCTCTACCAGCAGGGCCCTTCACTCACTCGCTCTCGCTGTTGCCTCCTGCTGCTGCTGCTGCTGCCCAGTGGCTACAGCCCCTCTCTCGCCCCTGGCCCGGGTCTGGCTTCATGCCGGGTGCAGCCCCTCCAGGCAGAGCGCGGCGTCTTCGGCCTCGGAGAGCCATCCCGGCCCACCTGCACCCGAAGGAAGCCCTTTCCCCAGAACGTGTCACTTGGCAGTTGCTGAGGAAGTGCCAGCTGAGGTGGGGAGCCGAGCGGGCAGGAGGCACTCAGGGGAGGGGAGGGGGCAAGTTCAAGCCTCCTGCTTAGCTAGCCTGTTCGTGCCGGCCCAGTGCTGGCGTTTGCCTGGCCCACGGGAGCCCAGGATCCCCACAAGCCCCAGAGTACCGACATGGACCCCTCGAGCCCCTCCTAGACGATGAGGCAGCAGCTCCCTGCATTTCTTTGCATGTCTCTCTTTGCAAGCAGAAAGGTGGTGCTTGGACCACTTCCCAGGCCCCTCTGCTGGGAAAGAAGATCCGTGGAAACCGGCGGAGGGGACTAGCGCCTGGCCAATCTGCTCCCAGCTGGCTGGCTAGTGCTGCTGGGCTTGCGCGCTCCCTCCCTCCTCACCCCACGCACAGCTGCCTTGAAGTTGCGCCCAGAGCAGAAAGTGAAAGCGCAGCAAGTAGTGGGGGGAGGGGGGCTTCCCTGAGAGGGCTGAGCAAAGTTGCGGCTGGGCAGCAAAAGTGAGTAGCAGCACTTCTGGTGCCCCCCCCCTCCAGCCACCTGATGGCTTGGCTTTCTTTCCTTTCCTGGGCATGGGACTGGGCCTGTCTGCGCAGGCAGCTCTCTCAAACTGTGGCTCCGAACCGGGACCCAAGTGCCCAGCTTCCTGCAGGGTGAAGGAAACCTGTCTCTGACCATATATGGGGTGGGTTATTCCTTCAGTACTGGTCCAGGGGGAGCGTGTGGGCTTGGCCCGGGACTCCCCTCCCCACCTCTCCAAAGGGGGAGAGAAGTTAGACTTCCTTCTCTCCAGACCCCGCCTGGAGGTTGGCAAACCCATAATTGGGTACGCGCAGGTGGCACCAGAAGGTAGCCCTGCCTAGGTTGCAAAAAAACCTCGGGCCGGCCCTGCTTGGTACCACACACAAGCCTGAACCAAGACTGAAATGGGTCAATGGCAGATGGGTCATCCAGGATGCCCAGGATCTGCTCTGCTACCACATGCTCTATTACCTTTCCTAGAAAAGGTAAATTGGACCCTGGCCTGTAATTGGCCACCTCATCCCTACCCAGTGAACATTTTCTGAGCAGAGACCTAATAACTGCTTCCTTCAAAGGCCTATGGAGAGCCCCCTCAATTAGAGAGGAGTTGATGATTTTCACTAATGGCGCCAATACTTTTTCCTGGTAAGACTATAAAAGCCAGGATGGGCATGGATCCAGAGCACAAGTGGTGGCCTTAATACTCCCAAGGACCCTGTCAGTATCTAAGTATCTACTTAGTGGTTTACAGATTAAAACCAAATTTACTGGTTACAGATTAAAACCAAACAGAAATAATTACCTACAACCCAATGAAACTATTAATATTCTCCCTTCAGTGACAATGACTCTGCTGCATCTGGAAAATCACAAAAAAGCCCAGAATAGATTTATTATTTATTTATTTTATTTATTCCTCAAATCTCTACCCCGGCCACCCAGCTGAAGCTGGCTCAGGGCAGTTTACGTAAAATCAGCATACAATTACAATAAAACAATTGAAACATTTAAAACAGTATTAAAACCAGTTAACAATGATATAATAAGTGCTAGTATTGTTGTTATTAAATCAACGATGGCTACCATATCAGCTCTCTCTTCCCATAATTGGCTTGTAGGTCTTCTGCAGTTGTCTTCCAGGCAGCTGGCACAGGGTGTTAGTATGAATTCCAGAGGCAACAGAGCTTCCTGTCCTAGTTGTTAATGGTGGCAGTGGCTCCATAAGCCTGGTGGAAGAGCTCCGTTTTACAGGCCCTGCAGAATGGTAAGAGGTTCCACAGGGCCCTGGTCTCTTCTGGGAGCTTGTTCCACCAGGATGGAGCTGCCACCAAGAAAGCCCTGGCCCTGGTTATCGACAGCCTGGCCTCCTTAATACTTGGGAGGACCTATCGGTTCTAGGCCCCTGAATGCAGTGCTCTCTGGGGAATATGTGGGGAAAGGTGGTTCCTCAGGTATATAGGCCCCTGATCATAAAAGGCGTTAAAGGTAAGAATCAGCACCTTGAAATGAATTCGGTATGCTATTGGCAGCCAGTGCAGTGTCTTTAGCACAGGCTGGATGTGGTCCCAGATTGAGAGTCCCATCAACATCCTGGCCGCAGTGCTTTGCACCAGCTGCAGCTTCCAGATTTGAGATATGTACAAATATGTGAAGGAAGGAAGTCTTTGCTCATTGCTGATTTCCTAAAACCAGTTTTTGTAATCAAAAGTACAATATTGACTTGAAGAGCTCTATTTATTTATGTTCTAGTTGGCTAGCCCCTGACAATAATGGGCCTTCTAAATTCTGAACCAGCTGTGGTTGCCTGGCTGTCTTCAAGGGAAGCCCAACATAAAGTGGATTAGAGTTACATAACCATGAAAATACAAAAGCATGGATCAGCGTGGCTTGATCAACTGAGTCTAAGAAGGAAGAGATTTGGAGAAACTGCGTCTAAGAAGGAAAACAGTTGGAGGACAGTTGGTGCAGATGATAGAAGACACTCTTGGTCACTATACCAACCTGCTTCTTAAACAACAAGGCTGGGTCCATGAGCACCACAAATGCCTATTCTCCAAATGTCAACTCTACTCCATCTACTACAAGTGAATCAAATCCTTCTAAAACATCAGCCTTAGCAACCAGCAGTTAAGGAAGTTGCCTTTTCTATGATACAAAACAGTGTATCGAAAATTATATAACTACAGCTGTGGCCATATGGGCAAAAAGATCCAGTGTGGCCTCGGTTCTAATTGATCCAGATTTTTTTGTAACTGAGAGTTTTAATCAGATTGACCCCCTTAACCCTCCTCACCATGTGTTCACCCCGTCCTTGATCAATCAGATGCAGCAGCCAGGAGTGGGGTAGTTGGGCAGCTTTTATTTAATAATTAGTCTTCTAAGCATGCACATAAGCACTGATGGGAATTAGTTCTTCAAACGTCTGGCAGAATGGTGGCAACTGGTGGCCAATAGGATTGCTGGAGGAGGCTGCTGGGAAATGGTGTCCAGTGTGAGGGTAGTGTTTTTGAAACTGTGCTTCTGAGAAATTCCATGTTTCAAACATTTGAAAGTGGGGGGGGGCATAGAGAAGCTTCATCCTGTGTCCTGAGTGCTGTTGGTGTTTTTATTTAAAAACATGGAGCAAAGCTGGAGTCACTGTCTTTGTTCTCAGATTCCCTCCCCCTCCCTCCTTCTCTGAAACAAACTCATTTTGACAATTAACCACTTCCTTATGCTGTGTGTCACAAAGCTGTAGGCAGGAGACAGCTTAAACACATGAGCAGTTATCCAGTCATGCGCACATCACCAACTTTTTTTTAATGGCAAAAGGGTAAGGAAAATGTTCAGATGTCCTAAATGGCTTCAGATCACTAGGAGGCAGTCCAGACAGGTGGAATGCAGGGCGAA